GTTGTTGTTGTTTGTTTGTTTGTTTGTTTGTTTTTTTCCTCTAAAGCCACACTCCAGAGCTAGGGGTCCGGGCTGTTTTGGAGAAGAAAATTTCCATTGAGAACGAGCATGTGTATGGTGTGGGAGTGGCCCCACGTACACTCCTTGCGAGACAAGTTCCGTGTGGACAGAGTTTTCCCGCTGCCCCACATCCCCCCTTCTCCCGGCAGTCTGAACCCTTAGAAGTGGGCCGCAGCAGCCGGCGCGGAGCCGGGCTTGGCTTGCTGCTCCCCTCCGGCCCTCTCGGTGAGAACAACGGGGCCCGATCCTCCCCAGAGGGACCTCGTTGGAGCCGTGGCTGAAAAGCGGGCCTTGAGAAACCTCGCTACCTAGGGATTTTTGTTCACCCCAGAGACAAAATCCGCTCTCTATTTCCTGTTCTCGAACACTTCCTGACACGGGGAAGATAACAAAGGGGAAAGTTTAAAGCAATAAATATGCTCCATCCGCCCCGTCCCCCGTCTTCGGCCGGCGCTGAAGCCAGGAGGCACTTGGCCGAGGAGAAATCGGGCTTTCCAGCCGTCGACCGGACCGTTCTTCCCACACAGGGTTCTGCCACTTTCTTAGCATCTTAGAGGATTTTCCTCCCGCCACCCGAACCTCTAGGGTTTATTTTCCTCCAGCTGCCAAAGACCTTGTTCCCCAGCCTGTGCTCCCCCTTCCAGCCTGCCTATTGCAGCCCGGATTCAAGAGGGGCCGGTGCCGCTGCCCTTGTGCTAGAGGCAGGGCTCTCCGAGAAGGCTCCAGGAGGAAAGGATGGCATTCTGGTAACACGATTTAACAAGTCAAATTGCATTATTAAAGTCACGAAGTTTTCCTGGACGCGCAGAAGTCCACTGACAGGTTTTCTTGTGCTTTGATAGATTTAGTGCTGTTTCGGTACACTTCTCCCTCCAGTAGCTAAGACTTGAAGATTTAAGATCGTACACCTCTAGACGATTCAAAGCCTACTCCCGGGGCAGCTAATACACTTCGTGATTGATTTTCCCGCTGAGATGTTTCCCGTTTCAGCCCTGTGAGAAACCTCTGTCCACTCTCGGCACACTGCTGGGATCCTCGCCGCATCCCGCAAGGCAGCGAGGGGAGGTCGGAACCTCAGGGAGGTTTTCCCTTTTGGAAAACATCTTTTCTGCCCAATGCGCCTCAAGAAAAGTTTTAAACTGAAGGATCCTTTCCGTGTGCCCGAGTGGCAAGGCTCTACCGAGCCATCGCGGTGCGGTGGGGCAAAAATACCCATCCTAAGCGCAGGCGGAGTCGCTCTGCGTGCAGGGACCTCGCTGCCTCCCGCTGCGAGGCTCCGAGCCTGGACGGCGACAGCGACGGGCCCCCAGCCCTCACTGCAAGGGCATCTCACTCGACTGTTAACGCTGCCTCCTTTCCGAAAACGACCACTACTTTATTCATTTATGAAAGCAGTTTTTTTTTTTTTCCCCTTTTCTTTATTATTTTCCCCTCTGGAGCCCTCCCGGTTTTCGCCACTAAGCAAACTCAGGGCAGAATTAATAGCTGTTCTTTACGGGATGGAAAGGGTTAATCGCCGCTGTTGATTTGGGGTTTGGGTTGGTTTTGTTTTTGCTATTTTTTTTTTCTTTTTCCCTCGAACGCATACAATCTCATTTGAGCCCCTCAAAGTGGTGAAAGGTATTGATTGCTATGTAGATCCACCGACTTTTAGCAGGCTCCCCAAGCCCCCTTCCCAAAAGTAAATATATAAGAAGAGGAAAAAAAAAAAGCAAGGAAAAAAAAAATATATATACTTTTGGAAGTGTCCCAAATACGTACAAATCCCGTTTTATGTCTTCCCATTCACTTGTATATTGATATCATAAAAGAGAAATCCTTCAGCGAGGTTTTTCTCCCAATACCTTATTCATTGAAACTGGCAGTTCCACTCATTATTCCACTCCCCTAAACTCGATTCTGATGCTGGCTAAATATAGAGCTTCGCCTTCCTGGGAACGCGAATCGAATACACAGTAAGCAAATCAGTAGCACAGGAGGGGGAAAAAAACCCTTGATCAAAGCCCTCCTTTTCTTCCCAATCCTGGTTTGTTGGGGCGGAGACAGGTCTCTCACTTATTGCAAATCATTTGCAAAAATCAAGCTTAAAATGCAATAACCTCTGCCAGAAGTAGTAGATTAAAAAAAAAAAAAAAGTTATGGGATGGGGTCTTAATAGAATTTAAAAGAGTAAATTATTTTCAAGTAAAGATGAAACGCTGGAAAATAAAACGCGTTCTTTCAGAGTTGGGGATGTGTGTATTTTTAATCAGACTAAATTTTTAAAATGGGGACGTAGACATCCACGGGGAAAAATGCACAAGACGGAGAACGGAAAAACACCTTCCCCGCTTCAGCCTCTCCCACAGAATCCGTGGATGCTGTTCTCGATCACTGGGATGACTCTTTATTCTTTAATTACCACGAACCTTTTACCAGCCCGCAGCCCGCGAGGTCACCCGGGGAGAGGGGGAGTCGGCATGCTCCGTGCAGCGGTGAGGGGGGGGGTGGATATTGGCAGAATACCGGGGCGGAAAGGCACAAAAGGTCAGAAACGCGCCCACCGCGCGGGGCCGCGGCCGGTCGCCCCGTGGCCAGCAGAGGTCGCCGCGGTGCCCGCCTGCGCGCAGCCTGCGCGCCCCGGCGCGGGCAGAGGCCGGCTGGGGAAGGGGCCTCCGGCTGGGAATCGACCCATGCGGAGTGCTGCGCGCTTCCCGTGTCCGCAGCCCTCGCCACGCTGCTCACGCCGAGCACCGCATCTCGCCTTCCGCGGGCGGTGGGGATGCGCGCACGGAGGCCCTGCCAGGGAGCGGCCGCATCGAGCCGGGGGGTGCGCGGCGGGGGTTGCTGCGGGCTGCGGAACACAGGGAGGGGATGGCGGGGGTGGGGGTCACAGCGGTGCTCCCCAAGCCCACTCCCGCAGAGCCGTCAGTGTCAATGGGAGCGAAGGTGCGCATTTCCAAAGGTTTGCCCCAAACACGTGCCGGGCTTGTCAGGAGCTGACAAGCGATAATTCTTGATAATTGCTTTTTGGTTACTCAGCTAAAACACAGAGTTATAAACTACATCAATAGGTAGTCTCTTATATACATATGTGTACGCATATACGTAAATGTACACATGTATGTGTAACGCCAGTTTCTTGGAAGCAGAAGCAATCGTTTTGCAGGATTGCGTTTCCCACTGTTTATATAAACGTCGAATATGTAAAGTAAGTGTGTGTGTGTTTGCAACCATATCTTTACCTCCTGACACTATCTTGATATCATTTAAGACAGCTTAGTTATCTCTACAAGTGCCAACGCTGAGTCCCACTTCTTGTTTGAAATAAAGCTGGAGGGTGTGTTTGCTCCCTCAGCTTTGCAAAGGAAAACATCTTGCAAACTAAGTTAGGACTGCGAGGAGATCTGTTGTTTAGCAGCTGTCTCATCAGCAGATGCAAGTTTCAGAACTTTTTCTCGTCCGTTTCATCGCAGCCAGATTTCCCTGCGGGAAGATATTCCGTATGAATATGGCTTTTGCCTCTCTTTCACCCAAACTCTAGACTCGTCGGTTGCCTTTAAAAAAAAAAAAATGTGATGACTGAAAAAAAAATCCTGATGAGTAGTGATTGGAGGGCACTTATATACCACGTTGATGAGGGCGGTGTAATACCCCATATGGAACAGAACACAAAAATGGGATCTAAACAAACTCCAAATGGGACGTTTAAGTTGGGTGTGGGTGTGTGGATTCTGATGGTTCTGGGGTGCACAGGCTGGGGAGCCGCTGCAGCTCTGCGCATAGACTAAAGGAGACGCAGTGGATAGCCTAAGCGGAGCCTGCCCTTTGCAAACACACCAAAAGAAATCAGTGCCCACGGGAAAGTAGCATTTTGCCTGGTTCGGGAAGCTTTCAGATAACCTCCTGCTGCAGCCAGCAGCTTCGCGGGGGCCAGTGCACGCCAGAGCGAGCTGCCGGGTGCTCTGCGCCGGTGCGCAGCCGGGGGCACAGGTACTGCACTGTGCCGTACCTCGACGCGGATCTGAGCATCCAACACCTCCTCGAGGGACCAGCGCCACTCAAACGGCAGAGTTCGCGTCTTATCCCCCCCCCCTTTTTTTTTTTTTTTTTTTAAGGGATTCTCCAAGGGGAAAGACAGGAGCTTTTCACTGTTCTGTGCGAACCTCCATTTTTGGCCAAGCTAAGAAACCGTCTAAACACAAGATGCATTTCTATTTACAGATGAGGGGGGAAAGAGAGAGAGAGAGAGAGAAAGAAATGAAAAGGATCTAAAAGGGACTGGAAAACATAAATAGAAGGGAGGGAGTGTTTAGAGACAATTTAAGGTAAATATTTGTACCTACTTCGATCTCGTGTTTAACAGAAATACTTGAAGCTTTTATTCACAGTTTTAAGAGAGAAGGAGGCTGGAGGAAAACATAAACAATCCCATTTTGCGGCTGGGGCCATGCCCAGCCAGCCAGCCTACCCTCCCTGATCAGGGGAGCGTCGCCTGGGCGAGCCAGAGCAGTGGCGGCTGCCTCCTGGGAAAGATAAACGCTCGGGTAGGAAATAGCAGGATTAACACCACCCTCCCCCCAAATATAATACGTGTACGTACGCATTATATATAATAATATATAATACATAATATATAACATATAATACATAATATATAATACATAATATATAATATATATGGTAAATGCGGCACGGCGAGCCCGAGAGGGGGAAGGGGTGGAGGAGCCCGAGCGGGGCCGGGAAGGAAAATGAAAGGTGTGACGGGAGATAAGCGGCAGGGACGGAGGAGAGCGACAGGCAGAAAGCATAAAGAGAAATACAAATGAGGAGAGAGGAAAAGTTGCCTGCGAGAGCCCCGCGCTGGGGCCGCCGCGCCGCCGGGCGCTGAAATATGATAATGAGGGCAGCTGCGCCGCGCCGCCCGCAGCCAATGGGCGCCGCGCAGCCGTGACGTCCCCGCGCATGACGTCAGGCCAATGGCGAGCGGGCTGAGTTGGAGCAGAGAAGTTTGAGTAAGAGATAAGGGCGAGGCGAGCGCCTGAGCCGCCAGCGCCCAGTCCGGCACCGCCGCGCCGCCGCACCGCACCGAAACGCACCGCACCACGCCGCGCCGCGCCGCACAGCGCAGTTACCGCACCGCGCGGCCGGACCCCGCCGCGCACCCGGCGCCGCGCGCCCCATTCTCTCTCCGCAGCCCTGACAGTATCTCCCACGCCGGTGGTGTTTTTGTTTTGCTTTTTTTTTTTTTTTTTAAGCTTACAGTCTCTATTTTTTTTCCTTTTGTTGTTGTTATGCTTCTGATTTTTTATTATTTTTTATTATTTTTTATTATTTTTTAGCGACAGCTCTCAAACCTACTTTGGGGTCTTAAAACGAAACCGTACACCATTTCACTGTGGACATTACACCCTCTTACAGATATGGGAGACATGGGAGACCCACCAAAAAGTAAGGCGGAATTTTTACCGTTGTTGGAATAAATGTGCTATCTATTGTAATCGTCTCAGGCAGGCGAGCTGAACTTCATTTGAATGGTAGAGAAGGTGCCTTTGTTGCCATGCCTGCATGCTTGCTGTGTTTTAACCTCGTAGCCTTGTATGTTAATAGCCTGGGGTCCTGCTCTTTTTTAAAGTTTGAGGAGCAGGCAAGGTTTTAATGGACAAACCAAACACGGAGACTTAAATTCTCTTCGTGATAGACTACGGTGAGGCTGTCTGACTATCCAGCACCTAGTTCGTCTAGGGGAATTAGCATTAGACTTGCAAAAGAGAGCAAGTGACAACCTTAATGATGCTTGTTCTTGCTAACAACCTAGAGCCCCCTCTTCTATGTCAAAGAGCTGAATGGGAAGCGCAAGAGCCACGCATCCAACGTTTCCAATCAGAGCCTCTTAAAAAATTATATGTAATGTATAGGTGCTCTCCCTGTAAGGAAAGGAATCCGAACGAGCAAACAATAAAATAAAAATAAAACAAATATGAAGTTTGGAGTTTTGATTCTGTGTGAGGCTCTTGAAATGAGGACCTTCACCCCGAAAAATGTTCACATCTGCATTTTAACATATGTTCCGCCTCCTTACTAAACGAGGCAAGGTTTTGATGGCACACTTCAATTACCATCCAAAAGTGTAGTACTCCTTAAACAAACAAACAAACAAAAGAAACCCTCCCAGAGTAAGCCCTATAAGAGAACGACACTAAAAGTGTGTTTATCTCTGTAGGAGAGTAAATGGTTAGTCAATCATGTATTTATTTTCATTTCAGAAAAACGCCTGATTTCCCTATGTGTTGGTTGCGGCAATCAAATTCACGATCAGTATATTCTAAGGGTTTCTCCGGATTTGGAATGGCATGCGGCGTGTTTGAAGTGTGCAGAGTGTAATCAGTATTTGGACGAGACCTGTACGTGCTTTGTTAGGGATGGCAAAACCTACTGTAAAAGAGATTATATCAGGTACGCCGTTTACATTGTTTAATTCTTCGGTGAGATTTTTATTATTTATTTATTTATTTATTAAATTTTATAAATCTAACAGAAGCAGGGAGAGGAAAAATAGTGAGAAAGGGGCAAAAAGACAATTGCTGTATTTTAAGTGATTTTCCAAAGGTACACAGACGGGGGGGGGTGGGAGGGGTGTGTGGGGGAGTTCTAGTCTTCAAGCTTTTTATTTCACAAATTCAAATGCAAATCTCTGTATAAACAAAACCACACTCAGAAACAGCTAGCGACTCGGTGGGACCTTCCTGAGGACTTTGGCAACGTATCCTGTGATTCTATCAAAGTGGGAAATCGTAGGTAAGGGAGAATGTTTTCAATAGCATAGAATTATGGACAACGCAGAACTGAGCAATTTTAACATGACCTAAGAAATGTATGTTTGTTTTTTTTGCAAAACCATAATGGCACTCAAAAGAAAACCACTTCAAGCATTTATGCCGTAAAAATAAATACGTGGGGAAAAATAAAAATAAACTAGGCCTATTAAAAAACAAATAGGTAAAAGAACAGAAAACACGTTGAAGCTTCTTTCAGAATGAAGAAAGCTTTTATGGGAAGGTTAAAACCTAGATTGAAACGTTCCTTCGTTAGTATAACTGACATAATCTTTTTAAATATTAACCCCTTTGGTGATATCTGACTGTCTTTTCTTTCTTATCTTATCTGTACTGATGAATTAGACAGAGCAGATCAAATTGCCCATCAACTGTTGGCGAACAATTGGGTATATTTAGATAATGGAACCGCTTCCTTCCTCACATTAAAATCTGGTAACTGATAAAATGTGAGAGTTGCCAATCCTGACACTATAGAGAAACCAAAGCGGGAATTTCGAGAGTGCTTATTATTTATTCTCCTGGGTCATGCTGATCCATTTCGGTGTCTTCTACTGGGCTTGAAAAAACAGAACTTTGACACTGAGGTAGGGACAGTGTTTTTATTTTTATTTTATTTTTTTTCGGAAAGTTTTGGGAACAAGCACCTACCTACCCTCCTAAAATGCCTTCTCTAGTTTCTTTGTAATTCTGAATTGAAATAAAACGGTTGAGTCTTTTCTTCTCCAGTACACAATTCATAACCAGATCATTTGTACAAGCCATGCCGTGAGGTTATTCTCAAAGTTTTACTGTGGCGAAAAAGAGCCCTATTATTATTATTATTATTATTATTATTATTATTATTATTATTATTATTATTATTATTATTATCTTCTTTCAATCGCACTTTGGAGATGCGCTACTAGCGTCATCCTTTCACAAGTTTCACATGAAGGGAAAACGTTTTAGACTGAGGTGTACTCACTTACCTCCTGCAGGAACTCAGTGGGAGAAATTTAAAAAACAACAACAACAAAAATGTAACTCTTATAAGTTTTTGCGCAGTACACTTCATTTGCTACAGTTTTAAAAGTAAGTTGTCCATTATGTGCAAGTCGGCTTTGAATTAGACCATGAGCCTAATCTATAATTGTCAGGCATGTAGGCAACACCCTCCAACTTTTGTACCTATTAATGCATACACTCTGCTGTTTTGTAGTTTACCAGTTTTACAGTTTGCTGTTGTTGTTTCTCAAAACATTATAATTTGCAAATTATATGAATGTAAGGCGAGTACAAGTCTATAGGCATAGAAGCTAAATAAGTGTGTAAATAAACACGTACACACAAGTATACATCACAGGCTGTATCGCTAATGAAGTGTACTGGTGAGGAAACGGGTGTGAATGAATACTAGCTCAGTTTTAAGAGCAGCTTTTACAGTTCTGTGAATTGCATCCACGTTTGTGTGTGTGCGTCTGTGCGATTTGCGGAAAGATTATTAATTTTACTTAATACCAAAGAGTACTAGCAATGAGTACTGGGTGGCAGCCGAGAGACAGCAGTTATAGACACCGGAGTTGGAACATTTTCTCCTGCTCATCTACCAACGGGTGAGCTGTCCCCCCTCCTCCACGGAAGACGAGGAACCCCCCACCCCCTCCCAGAGACGCAGTAGTTGCTGTGGGGGGCTGTCGGCGAGAGGTTGCCCTTTCACTCGTGCTGTAGGGCTTCGGCCCCGGTTCAAGGTGGGAGAAAGTAGGAGGGGAGAAGGAGCTGTGAGGCTGGCTTGCAGAGCCAGAGCATCGAGAATGCCTTTTAGCAGGGGGCGGAGGAGGGGAGTTGCACTGCTAGTGAGTGTGCATGTACATAAGGATATAAGGGGGTGTGTGTGCCTCTAGCTGTTAAATAAAATGAACCTAGCGAGAGAGGGAAAGGGGAAGAGCGCCGGCAGAGCCGCGTCCCGAAGGCTATGCCGACGGGAGCCCGGCCACGCGTTAAACGACAGAAGTCCTGAGTAGGTTTCTCAAAAAAAAAAACAAACAAACAAACAAAAAAAAAACACTTGGTGAGGCAGGCCTGTTTGGGCGTGTGGAGTGGGTGTCAGCCTCGCCAGCTTCGCCTGTCCCCAGTGTACCCGTGCGGGACGGTTCAGCTGCGGGCCCGTCCAGGTCAGGTTCCCCCACCGCGACGGCCGGCGTGAGGGCACAGACGCACCCTGGCCCCGAGCAGCACGGGCTCTGGGGCGGGAGGTCGGCGTCTCCCGGCGGAGAGGGGTATTTTTAAATTTTTTTCTTCCAATCCTTCCGTCCCTTCTCCTTGCCCACCGCCGTATCTGACTCTCCGCCACATTTTATTGCGGGGGGTGAGGGGAAGGAGGTAGTCAGCGCACCGCCAGCAGCAGAATCCGTTTTATTCCTTTGCCCTTCTGGCTCCCGTATTTTCAAGCCTTATTTATCTTGTGTGCTGCGTCTGGCGCGGCTACGCGGAGCCACGGGCTGCCCACGAGCGCAACTGAAAACCTCTCTCTTTCTTTTTCCCCTTCCTTCCCCGCTCCCTCCCTCCCTATTCCTCGCCCTCCCCTTTCCCCCACCCCGTGTTCTCCCTCTTTCCCTCCTGTCTCCTTCTCTCTGGGCTGGGCCCTGCTCAGGTTATACGGCATCAAGTGTGCCAAGTGCAGCATCGGCTTCAGCAAGAATGACTTCGTGATGCGCGCCCGCGCCAAGGTGTACCACATCGAGTGTTTCCGCTGCGTGGCCTGCAGCCGCCAGCTCATCCCCGGTGATGAATTCGCTCTGCGGGAGGACGGCCTCTTCTGCAGGGCGGACCACGACGTGGTGGAGCGGGCCAGCCTGGGCGCCGGGGACCCCCTCAGCCCCCTGCACCCCTCCCGGCCGCTGCAGATGGCAGGTACCGCCCGCACAAGGCGCCCGGAGGGAGCCCACGGGGTTTGGGGGGCTGCGCTCCTCCCAGCCTGCGCGGCCGCGGAGCGCCACGGGTCCGGCTGCCGACACCTGCGCGGGGTCGCGCCGCGCAGCATCCCCCATTCGCCCGCCTGCATCCTCCGACGGCCGGGCAGCGGCTGCGGGAGAGCTCCCCTTCCCCGAGCCCCCGACGGCCGGGAGGAGGTCTGCGGCGCGGACCCCTCCGCGGCCGGTCCTGCGGAGCACGGGGAAAAGCTGCTTGAAGCACTGGTGGAAGCAGGGGCCGAACAGAGATAGACTTCATAACTACAGGCGAGCACTTAGGCTGTAATTTAAAACTGTCAAAAAACTAATCTTCAGTAATTGCCTTTTAAAGTGACTCTGCCGTCTTGAAACGTTTTACGTGTTTTGATGAGAATTTCATCTTAAAACTCAGCATTGTCACTTCGCAGTCGAACCACCTTGCAACTTTACTCACACTTTTAGTTCTCGTCATGTGCATCAGATAGTCAGGGACGCTTAGCAGAAGAGGAACGTTTCTTAGAGACAAACAAAGCTCGATAAAATAATGTTTGCCGGCAGTGTTGCTGGGCAAGTAACTATAACATGAAAGGTTATTTACAAACACTGCTTTGTTTAAACGGGCTACTTTCCTGCTTCTGAGCATTTTTTTTTTCATATCTATAGACATATCTATATGAGGGGAAAAAAACATTACGTAATAGATAATTTCAGAATTTTAGAAAGGTTGTACGTGCTCTGTAGGGTGTATTTGTGCATGTCTTTGAAAAGCATATTGTGTCTGCAGGTAAAATACTGCTAATATTTGAACCCTCCATATTATCTTCATCGAATCATTGCTGACACTGTTATAAGCAGATAAGTCAGAAGCCCGGCGTACTTTTCTCCACTTTAAAATTGGGGAAGAATTAATCTTTTTTTTTCTTTTTTTTTTTTTTTTTTTTTTTTTTCTTTCCTGTCATTTTTTTTAAGTATTCAACAAAAGTTGACATAAATTCACCTAACACCTCAACTTTCTAAGATAGACGCTTGTCTCCTGAGCTCTGGGATACGGAGCTCTCACAGGACTTCTCTCCGTCGTCACGGTGCAGTGGATTTGGATTGTTATGCTTTAATTTGGAAGCACCAAACAGCCGGGAGCTGTTACACGTTATCGTGGCCTCTGGCTAAACTGAGATAGATTCAGTATACAAGAAGCAGACCCGAATCATGATTAATTTTAAAAAGTATTCTTTTATTATTTTTCGGGCCAAAAAACTGTTTTGGTGATTTGTCAGAACATAAGTACATAAAACCCTCCCCCTCCTTTCCTAATGCACACACACCTTTGTTAACTCGCCCTCCCCTGCCTAGGCTCATACAGGTTCAAGCTTCTGTCATTAAGGGTTTTAGGAGGGGTGGATTGTTTTTGCAAATTAATTATCTGTGGAGTCAGAAATGTCAGTCCTGTCACTCTACCAGCGCATAAAGCAGAGGCGGCAGCAAGAGCTCGGGTAGAGGTTACTGCCTGAATGGCCTTTGAAAGGGATTCACCCCCCCCCGCCACTCCCACCACTCTCGCCTCCCCCTGTCCCACTGGCTTAGATTCAGAGCCTCTGCAGACTCCCTGTTTCCTACTCATGGGGATCCTATTCCTCCCTTCCCCTTCCCTTACAGCAGAACCTATCTCTGCCAGACAGCCAGCTCTGCGACCCCACGTCCACAAGCAGCCCGAGAAGACTACCCGAGTCCGGACTGTCCTCAACGAAAAACAGCTTCACACCTTGAGGACCTGCTATGCTGCCAACCCCAGACCTGACGCCCTCATGAAGGAGCAACTGGTGGAAATGACTGGCCTCAGCCCGAGGGTTATCAGGGTTTGGTTTCAAAACAAGCGGTGCAAGGACAAAAAGAGAAGCATCATGATGAAGCAACTTCAGCAACAGCAACCAAATGACAAAACTGTAAGTGGCTTCAGTCTCTGACCACGCATTGCCTTCCTTCCTAAAGAGAAACCCATAGGCTAAGGCCAGCCTGTCCAGCTTCTGGGGCCGATTGGGCGCATTTGATTTTATGGGAGCTCCCTTAAAACAAACAAAATAGTACCATTTAAATATTATCTGCTTGTTCTGCTCTCAGTGCAATTAAAACAGACCACAGAGAGAAGCAGATATAGGCTGCTCAAGCGAACACATGTATTTTTGTGGGGCTGAGGATTCGCAGTGGATTAGTCTAACTTCTATGCAGCATGAATTGCGACCTGCAGAGCTTATGGGATGTAAAAAGCCCAGCCTTGTGTAATATTTATATTGCAAATGCAAAGGACTCCTTGAGGGAAAATGACGCATTCACCCTCTTCAATGGTTTTACACAGGAGTAAACCCAGAAGTAAAACCCATGAGTGAAAGGGTAATTTGGTATATTTCCTTAGCACTTTATATACTACAATGTGTGTGTTTCTCGGCGCATTTACTGTAGAAAAAAAAAAAAAAAGTGCAAAGTTTTTGGAATTGCCGTCGTGTCTTCAGGTTGCTTAATAAGTATATGATTCTTGCGTAGAAATATATTGAGTTCTTGTCTGCAGGCAACTTTTTTTTTTTTTTTCCTGCTGTTGTTGCTAATCTACTTGAAGAAGAGTCTGTTACTCTCTCTCTGTATACTGACTGACCTGAGAATGACTATTAATTCATAAGGCTGCCTAGTTAAGTGGAATTTAAGGAGTTTCATTTTACCGTGTTGGAATGCAATAAAACACGATGTTATTAACTCGCCTGAACAATCTATTCGTCGAGGGTTGGAGTTATTTTGTATACAGTGCCTGATCCACAGGGCATACCGGGGAGCTGGTGTTTCCCTTTTTAATATGTATTTATTTAGTTATTGCTTTTGAAAGAGCATGGTACTGGAGCTCCCCAGGTTTATCGTTCAGAGGATATACGATCCAGTTAAGGTCACGCAGAACAAAAACAGCCGGGATGCAAACTAGAAAGCGAGCATGATTAACCGTTTCTTGTGCCGAGCCATCGGCAGCCGAGACACTAGCTATTCGCGTTTAAGAAGGCTGGGAGGGGCGGGAGGGAGGTTATGCCTTGAGAGAAATACGAGGATTAAAGGGAAAGAAAGTAAACTTCCAGTGTGATAAATGCAGCGGGGCAGAAATGGACTGACCTAAAGTAGAATAGAGTAAGACATTCACAGCAGATTAACAAAGCAAATATAAGCGACTGTATAGATAAGATAGAAAGCAGTTTATTGACTCAGCGCTTATATACAATAAAGTTAACCAAGCTCATTAACATCTTTTGCTGGGCTGTTTACAGAATATCCAAGGGATGACAGGAACTCCGATGGTGGCTGCTAGTCCAGAGAGACATGACGGTGGTTTACAGGCGAACCCGGTGGAGGTGCAGAGTTACCAGCCGCCCTGGAAAGTCCTGAGTGACTTCGCGTTGCAGAGTGACATAGACCAACCTGCTTTTCAGCAGCTAGTAAGTGTCGGTTCCCAGCCAGAGCACTGGGAGAGTTCGCTGCCCCACAGCCCCTGGAGATGAGCAGTCCAGGCTAGCCGGGTTTTCCTGAAATTACGAGGTGGGCATTTTGACACTCTGTAAATGAGGTGAATTAAACTGATTTCGCAGGGCTTGGTACAAAACGGACCGCAGATATTGTCGAGGTGAGTGCAAGCTGGGTAAGGCCCGACCCAGGTCTGCGTCCAATTCAGCTCGCACGCCCCGGAAAACCGAAAGCTCCTCCATTTGAAATACTAAACTATTCTTCAGTGTCATTTAGTTGTATGCACGTTTCTGAAAGGAGTTTCAAAAATTTGTTCCCCACTCCCACTTCTGGCCATTTTTCACCGTATAATATACAATAGACTTAAAAACTATGGTTGCAACATCAGCCTGAATCCTTCTTTTGTCCCACAAACATGAACAGTTTAACTAAAATGTCGAATTCCTTGTTTTACGTATATAAATCTCGATATCATTTTATACTTCTCTATTTATATATATACACACAAATATATAACTAGAGCATACATTGTTGTGCTTTGGAAATAGAATTGTTAGTACGTATTCACATGCAAAATTCAAACAATGTAATGAACTGCCTTAAGCCAAAAGAAAACAGATATTTTTAAATAAATTCTGTTTTTAACTCAATTCCTTATGCCTACATCATTTGGCAGCTCATATGGGACCATATCATCAGCAATACTTAGGCCCAACCAGGTGAATTAAGGACAGAAGTTCAACCTTAACTCAATTTCCTGGCCTAAGTGTGTTAAAACCAGATCTTTAATATAATAAGGTATGTTGTGTATGGTTTTTCAGTGATTCCAAATAGTACTTAATGATGAAACATTAATATACAGACCCTTCTTTGATATGTCAGGAATCTTTTTCCATATAAGTGATGGAAGATGAAAGTTTTTAGCCATGTCAGGAGACATATTCAGTCTTTTTACAGTTTAGTATCATAATCCTTTGCAGGGTTCCCTTATTATTATTATTATTAATATTATTAATATTTATTTATTTATTTACTTATTTATTTCATTGTTTCCTGCTAAGTTGCAGGCTGCAGCCTGCTTGCCTCCCCTGGTGCACTATGTTCATTCAGCAAACTGCAGCACAGAAACAGAGCTGTTTGCACCATCTTACTTTGTGTAACCACTAAAAGCAACATTTTCCTGCTTTAATCAAGCTGTCAAACAGGCACAAGAAAAAATGATATCCTTCATTTGCCTTGTTTATTGTGTCTTAACAGAATAGGATACTTTTAAAACCTTTGAAATATATATATATATATTTAAGGGATCGGTCTAAAGAAAAGTCATGGTGGAATATGGAGAGGCCAAATAAGGGTGGGTCAAATATATTCACATATAGAGATGGATAATTCATTAGATAGATAAATATTGATGTATATTGTGCATAATGTCTGATACTGAAAAGAGATAAAATAAAAGATTGTGGATGGAACAGACAGTTAATCGACCATCCAGGGCACTTCTCTATTCTGGAAAAGGCCTTAATCACAGGATCGCCCTGTGGTAGGTGCCAAAGAAATGCATTTGGATTAACAAAGTTCCATCCTTCACATTAGGCCTTTTCCCAGCACTTCTTCTAAACTAAAAGGAGCTGTGGACCACATTAGGATGGAGAAGTGTAACCTTCTTTATCAAACTGTCTCTTGTTAGAAGAGATACCAAATGCTTCAAATCGCAAGTGAAATAGGATGGCTTGTTTCAAAAGCTTTCTTCTCCTGGATGCTTCTCACAGGTTTATTTTAATAAGTGCACAAAGGGCGAAAAATGTAACATTGAAGTTTTGTGTCAAAAAACACATGCATTCTTAAATAATTGACAAGAACATCCTGTTGGGATCATCACTCTTGCAAGACACAGAAGAAAGCCGCACTAATAAGGTTGTTTGCTCCCCCCCCTCAATCTATTTTTTTTTCCTTCATGATTTGCCTAAGTCCTGAAGAAGATTCCTATGAAGTCAGTGGGGTAATTAAACAAAACAACAGTGACATAGACTCCCATGGAAATGTATCTGGTCATTCAGCTGCATGACTGTATATTTATTTTTGCATTTTTCTTTTTCTTGGAGCGCAGCTCTTCTTTGATTGTTACAAATGTAATAATTATTTTATTTTTTTCCAGGTTAATTTCTCAGAGGGAGGACCAGGTTCCAACTCTACTGGAAGTGAAGTAGCATCTATGTCCTCTCAGCTCCCAGATACACCCAACAGCATGGTAGCCAGCCCTATTGAGGCATGAAGAACGTTCACTCAGATTTCTGTTGTTGTTGTTTCTGCCCTTGCCCTCACCTCTGTTGGAGAGAGTGGGAAAATGATCGCATTGGGACTCTGAAATTTAGTGGGGAAAAGTATTTAACATCCCTGTAAAGGAACCACTCCATGAAATGAATGGAATCATGTTTGAAAAGACAAGGTAATATGGTAGCAACACTGTGAAGACAATCATGGGATCTTACTAGAATAAATATTAAAACAACAACAACAACAAACAACAACAAACAACAACAACAAAAGCAAAACAAAACAAAAAAAAAGAAAACAAAAACAAAAAAAAACACTATTCAGTGTTCTTAAGGGGATAAAAAAAAAAAGACATTTTCAAAACGTAGAGGATTTGTACTCATGGATCTCAGAGAAAAAAAAAATACGTGAAAAAAAATTATCTTTTCCTTTGACTGCACATCTTAGAGAGAAACCAAGGTAGAGGGACTTTCTATCGAGTCCTTCCTAATCCGAATGGTGCTGTTTCTATATTGGTCATTGCCTTGCCAAAAGGAGCTCCAGTAGGTTTTCCATCATCAGGAAAGAGACGATTTAGCCCTGCATTGTTGAAAGATTAATTGCAGGAAGGTGGAGCTGCATTGGTTTGCAATGTTGTTTTTAGTTGACTCTTAACAAGGGGTTGTTTCCTGGGTCTCTTATAGCATGTACTGTAGCGGAGTTTTGTTTTTGTTTGGTTGAGATCCATCCTCTATCAAGTCTGAAGCGATTAAAAATAGGTTTTTGAATTATTCTTTAAAAACCAATTTATAAAAGCATTGCAACAAGGTATACCTCTATTTTGCCACAAAGCGTCTCGGGATTGTGTTTGACATGTGTCCGTCCAAGAACCTTCCCCTCCCCCAAAGATGTGTATAGTTATTGGTTAAAACGACTGTTTTCCCTCTTTCCCTCTCTTTCCCTCTCTTTCCCTCTCTTTCCCTCTCTTTCCCTCTCTTTCCCTCTCTCTAAGTAAATAAATAAACAGAAAAAAAGCAAAAAAAAAGTAAAAGAAAAGGAAAAGGAAAAAAACACCAACCTTTTTTGTTTGCTCTTGCATTGCAAAATTATAAAGTAATTTATTATTTATTATCGGAAGACTTGCCACTTTTCATGTCATTTGATTCTATTTTTTTTGTTTGCTGAAGTAAAAGAAAAAAAAAGAAAAAAAAAGAAAAGGTTGTACCGTGGTCTTTGAATTATATGTCTAATTCTATGTGGTTTTGTCTTTTTTTTTTTTTTCCTTAAATATTATGTGAAATAAAAGCGCCATATGTAGAATTATTATATCTTCAGGACTATTTCACTAAATAAGCGTTTGGAATAGAGAAAATAATAATATTAATATTAAATAATGAACAAAGTTCCCTCTTAAATATTTGCAAGTTAGCAGCTAAAATACCTGAAATAAAATATTGCATGCAAAGCCTGTCATTAGTGAATACAAGGAGTGTGATATTTTATTACAAGTATTAATGACCGGCTTGTAAATTTCCGTTTCAACAACTATATCAGGGCTAGTTGGATGCCTTAGCTTTCAATCGATAACATTAGAAACTCTCTTGTTCTCCCCCTCCCCCTATCCTTTACCTTTAAAAGTGATATTACTCTAGGCATGATCTGACATAATGTTAAGACGTCTAAAGAACCGGGAGCTCAGGCTTTTTTCTGAGTTCTATTATTTTTTAAAAATAATAAAAAGAAAGTGCTGTATACCAAAGCCTCGTTGTTGAGATTGTTAAAGTGACCTGTACTTTAAGTATAAGCTCCTGATAAAAGGGACGCTTTTTGCTTAACAAGTCAAGTATGACCATTATTTATCAGTGTCTGCTGTCAAAACGATTGAAAAAAATGCTGCAGAAGGAGTAGAATGAGGGATATTGCTGTGAAATTGCACGATCGGTATTCCTTATTTTCTGTCGACTTCCCTCTCTTCACTCCCTCTTTTCTTCCTTTTTTAATTTGCGGGGGAGAGGGTGGTGAAAGCTAGAAACGTGGGCGAGTTCTTGGGGAAAAGTAGAAAGAAGAAAAAAGTATTGGAAAGGGTTGTTTTTGCTCCAATTCAAGTGTTCCCTAGTGCTCCTGGCCAGCACAAGACAAACGCTCACTTTAAAAAATCCTTAAAGACTGGAATATACAGAGATTTTTAGTGTGACAAGGACAAGTTGGTTTGCATGATAGTTACTCCAAAGCCTAATGTTTTCTTAACATAACCTTCTTTTTCCTCCCTCCTCCCTATCTCAGTCCACTCTGAGCAAGCTCAGCTATAGAGATAAACCATTTCGTCAGTAGAAAATAAAATAAAATAATAATAATAATAATAAAGTTTAAAAGCCTCATACAAGGATTTCAATCATCCTGATTAGAAACTGGATTCATTTTGTATGCTCAAGTGTAATACATTTTTGAGTACTTGATAAATATTTAAATAAATATGAAATCTACCTTAAACTGTGTGACCAGTAACACTTGTGTTTTCATGCAGGATCAGAGGATTGGTACGAAGCTTCGGGGGGTGGGAGGGAGAAAGGGTGTCATTTCTACACGGTGGTCCGACGTGTAAGTTGTCTGAGTCGCTCTTACTGGTGAGGGTGTTGGGGAGGAGATGGGGTCTCCGACTCGGGGCGGGGGTCTTCAATTGGCGCAAAGTCAGGGCAAAACCGCGGCCTGTGCATTCGCCTACCAGCTGGCGCGTAGGTGGGAAGCGCGGCCACTCCTCGAGAGTTATGCGTGGGCGCCCAACTTGCGAGAGGGCATAGCTGAGGCCTCCTGGCAGGACCTTGGGGCCGGTGAAGACCTGCTATCCCCGAAGGCCGCATTTCGGCTTCCGCTCCCGTCTCTGGTCTCTGCTTGCGCGGGGGACGGAGCTCATCCTTGCGCTGCGCGGAGCCCCGCGGGTCCGCCGCGCCCTGCTGGAGGCCCGGGGCCGCCGCCAAGATAAGCGGCTCACAGGGGGGCAAAGGGCTTTGCATTTGGACTGGCAAGGGAGCGACCTGTTCCTCGAAGCGCACACGGTATCCCGGACTCGGGGAGCTGCAGCCGAGCTCTGGCTCCGGTCTTGCAGCTGTTGGGGGTCCCCCCGCTCGAGATGTGTCTGCATCCGCGCCCACCGCGGGGCTCCTGTCTACGCCCCACGGAAAACCTTCTGCCCTCACAAGCCCACACATCCCCTCGAGGCTTGTGAGGGGCCTGCGGTTGCTCTTGACATGGCCGCCCTAGGGTCTCGGGTTCGACGTCGATGTGCGCGTCCCCCCTGCTCCGGGTGCCCTGCTGCGCGGCCCTGGGGCCCCAGGGTCACGCCAGAGCCTCCCCCAGAAACTTCAGTGAAGCACACCTCGTCTTATTTTACAGTTATTTAGTTTGCTCGCGTGTGTATTCCTTGATTGCCTTCCGTTCTCCTTTCATTTTCATATATTTGTGGAATATTTCTTCCCTCCCCCAAAACTTTGATTTTTTTCCTCTCTGGTACAAATAGAGACACACTTTCGAGCCGTCCCTCCTAGTGCCTTCAGGAGAACACCCTTCCTGAGCTCGAGCAGCAGTATTTGTGCAAGAGAGAGAAAACATCCTCTGTATGAAATACGTGTACTTATGGTGCTCTGTGCAGGTCCCTGCGCCGGTCATCGTTTTTTCCCACACGCGGAGGGCGGCAATTAACATTCCCAGCTCCGCTGTTTTCTTCGTGCTGCAGCCCATCTTAGTGATGGCAAATAAGGTCTGTTAAAGCCTGCTACCATTTCTATGCGAATTTTGTTAGCACACACAGAAGCCAATATTCAAACTCTTCTAATTTCAATATTTGTGCCAGGTTAATTAGCTCTCAGCATCTCCAGCGAACGCAGGAGTAAGAACGCTGAAACCGGGGGTGTGAATTCCAGCGCAGAGATCAGTCGAACGTCTCCACGGTGAGTGCTTGCTTTTATACACGTATGCCTAAATAGATATTGATAAATCCACTCTGGATCACCCAAAAGCGGCAGTGAGGAGGGAACGGCTGGCTTGGGGAGGACTCACTTGCCACCGCTGTTGCCCGCCGTAGCCTGAGCGCACCACCGGGACGGAGCCCCGTACTGGTCTGGGTCGCCGGTGCCAGGCGGGTTTCACGGCACGGCCCGTGCTCACCCGTCTGCACGCCCGAAGTGCCGGCAGCGTTTTACGGTGCGAGGTGCCGCTGCTGGGCGCTTTGGGCTCTTCAGCTGAGCTGTAAGTAGTTAATAAAGGGGCTGGGAAGAGATCCTGTTTACTGATTGTTCCTGATTGTTGTTTTCTTGATAACAGAGCAAGCCACTGAATGACTGTTTGAGCTCAGGCGCCACAAACATAAACTTAACAGCTCCCAGTGTGCCGGCCCTGCTGGAGGATCACTCCTCACCTCCCGGGACTTGTGAAGTGCAGGCGGAGAAGGCAGCTCCCAAGGAGGCGGCGGGGAGACAGGCTCCGGGGGGGGCGGGGAAGGCTTGCTCTGTGACCGAGCTTTCCGTATCTGCTGTCCTTAGTCAGAGAAAGGGGTGCTAAATTAATCGGTGCGTTTCCCCAAGGCTTCTGCCCGTGACGGAGGTCGGGGCAGGGTCCAGTGCGTCTCTCTTCACAGCATCCTAGCCGGAGGATGCGGCATTTACAAAAGGCGGCTGTTTCATTTTACCGAATTTCCTTGGTGCGGCCGAGCCGCACTGCACAAGTGCTCGGGGCTTGGCCGGTGCCGAGGAGGGAGAGCGGCGGAGGCGGGGAGCCGCGCAGCATCTGTCCGCGGCCGCATCGCCCGGGACCCGAGAGCGGCAGCACCGGGGAGGCCTCCCCACTGCTTTTGGGGCTGCACTGACTACCTGTAGCTTCGGCTTTCTCTAGGGGCGGCGAGGAGGGAGTTGTGGGGAGAAGGAGAAAGATTGTAAACAAGACTTTTTTTTTTCTTCCTGGAGTATATTTTTTGCCGCTCCCCCCCCTCCTTTATTTTTATTTTTATTTTTATTTTTATTTTTATTTTTATTTTTATTTTTATTTTATTTTTATTTTTATTTTTATTTTTATTTTTATATTTTTATTTTTATTTTTATTTTTTTATTTTTATTTTCTCCGGGCAGACAAAACAGAGCAAGGTGTGTTTGGTGGGAGAGGGCGGGCAAGTTTTCCAGAAATAAGTGACACAGAGCAAAGCAGAGCTTGGCTCCTATCTTGAGGCGGCAGCGGGAAGAGGAAAATAGGGTGTTACTGTGGCTTTTCTTTGGGAGGGCTGTTCAGGTCGGTAGATCTCCAAGGCTAATCCAAACAACCCGTTTGACTTGTGAGGTCCGGAGTCTAGACAGAGCTGGTGGCTCGGCGGCTCCTTATCTGGTTTTGGAATCAGCCAAAAGAGACTTTTCTTAATGTCCACAGCAGCACTGGGATCTGCCGGGGCCGGGTAGCCACCGCACCTCGCAGACAGGACAACAAAAACACCCACCACCTGGAGGCTTTACAGCCCGCTTTGTTGTTCCCGAGTCCTGTCTCGCCCCATGTCCTCAGCCGCCAGGCAGGGGTAACCCGCGTCCCTCGAGCTGTTTAACACAACATAGACCCCGCTGCTCGCCCTGTCGTCCCTAGGGCACTGAAATGCCACCTCCACAGGAGGATGGGGCAGTTGGCAGTTTTTCCCAGCTTTGGGACTACACCTTAAAGGCTCGAAGTCTGGTGTTTTCTTTTTTCGCTTGGGCGAGTTACGGGATTGGGCTCGTCAATGGACGTAGGAAGGCAGGACTGAAGTTGACGGACGACTCTCCTGCGCCATGGCCATTTTACTGACCCTCCTTCTCTTCCCCATTCCGGCCTTCCGTACTCCTTCCGTCATTTTCAGTCACTTCTTCTTCCTTCCTATTCCTTCCTTCCTTCCTCCTTCCTTCTTCTCTCTTCTCTCTCTCTTTTTTTTTCTCCTTCTCTCTTCTCTCTTTCTTTCTCTCTTCCTCTCTTCCTCTCCTTCTTTCTTCCCACCCCTTCCTCCCTTCCTCTCTTCCTATCTTTCCCTCCCCTTGTGTTTGGTGCCACTATTTTATTTATATATATATACTTAAAGTTTTGCAGAGAATTAAATAAAAAAAAAAAAACAAACCAACACAAAAAACAAACACCTCTCTAAATCCAATCCTGTTCATCAACAGTAAGGATTGATTGAAGCGTATCAATTAACAGAGAGGAAGAGAGGAAGTTGGTTTAGATATAAGATCTTCTTTGGGAGTAGAAAATTGCTTTCTGTGTTCATCCCTTTATGATGGGTTTTGGATACTGCTAGCTGTAAAGCTTGTTTGATGCAGTTAGGATCAATAAAAGCGTTTAACTCAATAGCAAGCAGTATTTTGGAAAGGGAGAAAGACACATCTTTTGGTTAGATGTCACTCTTTCTATTTATTCATGTTCTTGAGCTTTCAAACTCTCCTGGCATGTTGGGCAGATGGATGGTATGTTTCCAGATTTCTGGACACTGCTAGAGCTCATCTGCTGTCTCTGTGGTTCCTCTACTGGAACACAATATGGTTTACAGTAACTCTGTGATTCCTCTCCAAAACCTGTGCTGTTTGCAGTTGAGTTCAGGGCCGTGATATTCCATTTTAGAAGAAAGCATGCTGATTTCTCTTACTATGATGTACTGATATCCTACATACAGAAGATATTGAGTCTGCTAATGTGGAATTATGAAATTTGACATTGGGTAGAACTCATTCTCTCTGAAATTTAGGTTTGTGGGTAAGTACTGTTTTCTAGATTTGCATGTAGAAGTTGCAGATTTTCTTGTGTACAGACCAAATGATACTGCAAAGCTTTTGTAATCATTTTTCCATTAAACACAAATAAACCATTTTAAACTTCCTATAGCTCAGAAAATTCAGGATCAAGAATGCAACATTTCCCAAGAAAAAGAATCTTAACCATGATCCTGATACTGCCACTCCCCCCCCCCACCCCACCCCCCGCCATCTCTCTCTCTTTCTCATGGGTAAAACTTAGTGTTTATTTTTATCTGTCACAAATACAAGGTGTTGTTTGAAATGTGTTAAACTTAGCAGGTATATAGAGATAATACCAACGTGTCACTGTGCATGATAAAGTAAAATATGGTGGGAATTAACTTGAAAAGTTTATGAAGGTCTTAGCTACAGTCCATAAATTAACGTTTTTTACAAAGATATGATGATATGTAAAAGATCTTATAATATATATAATACTTTAAAAAATTCCAATATTTGCAGACAAAACATTTTTCCCCAGCTTGAAGACAAACTGAGGTGCCAGTCCTGGAAGTAAGTACTGTAAGTAAGTTTTCTGTAAGTTTGAAATAACCAAAACTAGACAACACTAGTGAGTCAGGAATTGCAGGGGCAAAATACCCAGTTTACAAAGAATCTCTTGCAGAGGTAGTGAAAGATCTGCTGCTAACCTCTAGTGAAGTAGGAATGCATGTCTTTGAAGGCCTGAGCCCAATTCTCCTCAAAGATAGCAGC